TCCTAAACTAAAAAATCAGGTTACCTCATGTCCGCATGGTCCTCATAGGAATAGCAACATACGTTGCTAATGGTGGCTCCAATTCCGGTAATACAGCATCCATAAAAACAATACTTTGTTTGGTTCAAACTTAATCCATGATCATAATAGGAACAGTTCTCGGCTGTAACAACTTGAAATTAAACAAACAAAATATTTGTCAACCCTCTGGATATTTTATCATCAGGTCAGAATGCGTGCGATGTGCCACAGAAAGCGGAAGTGCTCAACTCAGGTTATTGTGTAATTACCCTAATCCTTTCCGTCCCTCAAGAGGAGTCAATCTACTGAGTAATCACCAGATTATAGGGCAACAAGGCATTGTCAAACAAAATAGTATGATAATACTCTACGACCAAGCACCTTAGCAAAAATGTACATTTCCTCTATCACCACATCTGTTTTCGGGAATCATCCACCCCGTTTTCACTAAAAAAAAAATGCCTTGAACTGACTTGTTCTTTGAATAATTCTTGGGGTGTGGCAAGATAAATTCAACAATATTAACTTGATCATTTTCAGATCATTGTAGAATGTATTATTTATCCTCCACAATCAAAAGTCCACAAGACTATAGCTAGACTATGCGAACAGTCTTATGACAATATTTAGCAGGAATCACTTTTCTTACATCAAAAAATCAAAGTAATCCAGAAAATACTTCTGGTATATTACTTTGTAAACATCCTCCTTTTACATTTCTTCAAAATTGTAGTTAATCGATCGTGTAAATACTCTCTCTCTCTCTCTCTCTCTCTCTCTCAGGCAATTGGTTTGAACTAAGGCGTGCCTCCCCCCCCCACCACCACCCAAATAATAGGCCAGGAGATCCGGGCCCATGCTTCCACACGTCCAGATCCAGATACACACCTCCGCCCCTCTTGTGTGCGATATCACAAGACGTTGACAATCGAAAATCGAACTATGCATGTAAAATCCCACATTTATAAATTATAATATAATAATTAATGTTTCTTAAATTAACCACTTTAAGATCAACTGGCCAGTTCATCTATCGCCATGTCAGTTTTAATTGCAACATTTACTTTTATCCTGTTATCTGATTTTCCGTAAATATAACAAAATTGTACATTGATGGTATTCACTAGTTAGGATCCCTTACTAAGTGTAGTAACTGGCCCGTTAGTACTGTAAGGCGCGGCGATATATGTTTATTTATGTTCTGGTATGCTAAAATATGGAAGGTAAACGATACATATTGGTCTATAAAATGAACATCACCTTGTCACATTTACCGGCAATTTTAGACCCACCCCCACCCCCGCCACAACAAACACACATACTCCCACACACCTCCCCCCAACACACACACAAACATAACCAGTATAGCATAACAGTTGGTCAAGGGGAACCTATACATTTTTTAATTGATTTATTAGATGAGCATCATTTATAACAATATCAACACATTTCCACCCAAGTATATACATTGGAACCACCCACCCCGCGTAAGATCACCGCCGAGAAACCACATCTACGTGATTAATGATAAATGACGGTGATGATGATGATGATGATGAATTATTTATTTATTGTATGTAAATATGTAATATATACTTGTACATTATGTATAGTTTAGTAATTGTATTGATATGTATAATTTACATGGAGAGGAATTTGTATAAGCCTCGGCTTGATTTCTAATCCATTACAAGAGTGTTGTAAATAATCTTTATGTATTTGAATAAAAATATTGTTTAAAACACCACATCTACGTAAAATAAAATCTGATGTAGTAAAACTTCATCCAATAAATCATCGTCTCGGGTGGCCATGCTTCATGAGCCACTGGACTTGAATTAAGTCTAACTTACTAGTTGTGAATCTATTTTTAGTCGAACTGAGTGTAAACATGAACCTTTACCTTGTATAAACGACCATAAACAGGCCAGGTATAGCGTTATATTGATAGTCGCGGCCATTACTAACTATCACCTTCACAAGGTATAGTTAATTAGGTAAAACTAGAATTAAATAACACGCATTTACTCGTCAATAAATACATCACATCAGTAAATAAAACGTACAATAATCGGTCCACTGGTTTCTCAGTGAACATACGTCACGTTGTCAACACAGCTCTTTGTAGGTTAATGTTATCAAGTATATTACTATATAAATATTGATCACGTGATCACATTCTATTCAGTTATATTTCATTCACGCCTTTCAAACCAACAGGACGGATCAAGTTGTTTTGTGTTGCTATCGCACACTGTCATGTTCGTTTGACTATAAAACACATTTTGATTGAGTGCAAGTACCTCAAAGGTGTTAGATCTCATTTTTACCGTTGTTAATCGTTATTTCAAATATTTGTCCAACCGGGTCTATACTGTAAAGTACTAGACTTTTTAAAAGAGACGGGTTTTTATCGTGAATTTTAAAATTGTGCATATATATACAGTAAAAGGTTATAGTAAAAGCCACGCTCGGGTGGTAGATATTAGAAATAAAGTTGTTTTTGGAAAGACAACTGGGTTTTTACGAGTACTTTCCGCTTTATTAAGGTTCTTCGGGCAATTGGTAAAGGTTGCCTGAAGAAGCTTAGTAATGCAGAAAGTACGCGCATAAACCTAGTTTTCTCAGTACATAATATTAAAAAAAAACACAATTTTAAACTAGAAACAATTCATAAAAACTAATAAATTAATCACATTTCGCTGAGTACCTTCGACCGTTGCGGAAATTTTCTGTTTAGGTGCACGTTAAAGATTTTACGCCTCTAATATGTAAAAACTTAATGATAACTGAAACACGTTAGATTTTTTTCAGCATTATCGGAATGTCTATAACGAATGCAGTATTCCATTAGACTGTAGATATGAAATAAGTCGTTCATTCGTTCCTGGAGCTTTACGTACACTTCAACCTGGAATGATATCGTTGACAAACGTTTCCTAAAAAAAAACTTGCCAGAGGAAGCCAAAAAATAGGCTTGATCCAGCTTTTTTGGATAAGACACAATTTCTTTATAGGGTGAATTTCATCAAAAGGAGAAGCTCCAAGTGTTGAAATAAACTGTGTGAAATAGCTTTATTTAACGCCCGCTTCCACCGAAGTGAAATAAACTGTGTGAAATAGCTTTATTTAACACCCGCTTCCACCGAAGTGATATCGCAGGCCTAAACCTGTCATCAAATACAATTTTTTTGAAGATTTTGAAATTTTTCCACTATTCAAACAAAAATTCAGAACGACAAAGTGCCCAGAAATGTCTCCGGTTATCCAAAAATGTAATCTTAAGACATTGGTTGAAAATTAATGGCCAATTTTCAATTTTCATGCACGTTAAAGATTTAACGGATTTCCGCTATAAATAGGCTGCAATAGCAAATTAAAACAGCTACATATATACATGTAAAATAAAGGACAGAAAATAAAATAAAATGCATTTAAAACTAAATACATTATACATGTAAAATAAACGACAGAAAAAAAAACAAGTACGACCGTACTATGAACCAGAGTTTGACCATGTTGTTCGGGAAATTCAAATTTCCAATTCACCAAATCCATGCAGGATTGTTCAAAGAACAAGCATGCCAATTTTCATGTCGATTGGATTAACATTGACGGAGCCTTCGGATTTTTCGAAGAGCGTCACCCTAAAAAGAAGATGGGGTGTAACGTCCACTCGACACAAACTAGGTCATTTCGGGAGTAACATATGGTTCAATTATATTTCAATAATTGGCTTGTCCGTAGTGGTCTTTAGTAGTAGGAGGAAATCGACTGACGGGGAGGAGAGTTGATTATGTTAATAAATGTTTAAATAATAATTCATATAACATTTAAGGCCAAAGAATATGCGGATTTAGCTCTTGAATACAGTGTAATGAACCCCGAGTCACAAAATCGAATATTACAATGGAACCCATCCACATAATGGACAAAATTCAATAAAACTATAAAACTCGTGATGAAATTGTTGCTTTGTGATTCATTCGTCTTTTTATCAACGTGAAGAATGTCTCGATCGGTTTGGAGGCAGTGGTGTTGTGTATTAGTGTACCATAAAGATAATAGCTCCATTTTAACTTACAAACTACAATTACCATTGACAATTACCGCCAGTGACTGGGGAAGGCGGAATGAACGGTTAAATTAATTTGTTTCAATCGAGACATATTTTGCTAGCTTAAGGCACTATCTTGTAAACTTTCGATCCCTGCATTGGCCGAGAAAGTTCATCAAGATTTTCCGAGGTGGTTCCCCCTTGTCAGTGATGCAGGACGGAGGGCCTGACAAGGACAGCTGTCTAGTCCTTCGGATGATACGAAAAACCGAGGTCCCGTGTATACATTAGAATGCACGTAAAATATCCCTTGGCAGTTGGAATTCGATATAATTTCCCTCATGGCACACTGTATGGCGTATGCCCGTCTTCATTAGCCCAGCATAGGAGCAGAACAGTAGGACATTAAACCCCATTTTATTTCATTTCATTTCTATCTTGTAAACTAAAAGTCGTAATGTTCACAGCTCCTTTCGTTGAATCAGGGACCCATTTCGTAAATTAAAAGTCGTAATGTTTCACAACTCCTTCCGTTGAATCGGAGGAGTCACGGTGGCTCACTAAGCTGGAGATAACGTGTTCGATCCCAGGTTTTTTATTCGGCGTTGTTCCCCAACGCCCCTTATCGGTGATGCAGGACGACGAAAACCCGAGGTTCCGTGTACACACTGGCATGCACCGATCGGGCTAATAAAGACGGTCATACGCCATACAGTGTGTTACGAGGGACATTTTCCCCGAACAACGCCACTGCGGCCTTCAAACCCAGTAAAAGAAAGCTACACTAGATTTTTTGCAATAATGAAGCAGACAAAGTTATGAAAGAAATAAATGAAAAGTAATAAAAATAATTTATCTAAAACAGACGTAATAAAATACTTACAAAGAAACATAAATAATTAATATAATTATAGACATCGTTCCATAAATAAATTATATAACAAGCCAACAGTGAGGCTGATGTCCACCGCCGAAATCCCAAAATAAATAGATGACACATATTAATTAATCGCACATTTATGGGGTTTTTTTTTCAAAAGTATCGAGCAATCAAACTATACACTAAGTTTCATCACTCTCTATCAGATAGAATCAAGATTATCTTGTCCCAAACCATTGACAAATGAAATTGATTAGCTCTGCTTAGCTTTAGCTTGAAATGTTAATCATTGAAATCAGCCAAGACATTCACCAAATCAACATCTACATCAAGTTTAAACATTCTACCTCGATTAAAAGCAGAGTTGTTATGTTCCAAAGTCTTGACCAATCAAATTGCTTATCGCTCCTTAGTCTAAGCAGAAAATTCTCGCCATCGAACTTAGTCAAGGTAATGATATAATGAATCTATATTCGGAGTTTCATCTCTCTCACTTCATTATAACCAAAGTTATCGTGCCCCAAAGTATCAACCAATCAGATTGCTTATCTCTGCTTACCCTAAGCAGAAATTTCTCATCTTTGAAATACATCAAGGCATTCACCGAATAGACACCTACGCCAAGAATGAGAGGTATTGTGTTCCAAATTCTAGAACAATCAAATTGCTCGTCGCTCTGCTTACCCTAAGCAGAAAATGCTTATCTTCGAACTCCATCAAGGTATAATGAATGCCTACTCCAAGTGTAAACATTCTAGCTCAATTATATAAAAGAGAGTTATTGTGTCCCCAAATGTGTAACGTACAGACAGACGGACGAACCAATTTTCACAGTCCCCTGTTTCCTTCGAAAGTCGGGGGACGATAATAGACATCGTTACATAAATAAATTATACATGGCCTATATATAGACATTGTTGCATGGATTTATATCTAGTTATATTACGAGTAGTAATTCGTTATAAGATGACAGGACAAAAAGTTTATTGAAGAAATGATCCTAGTTGAACAGAATAAAGACCGAAATATCAACTGCCGGGGTGTACTGTGACAAACATACGGTGAAGCAGGATAAATTATTTCACAATCAATACATTCATATGGATATGAAAACAAATATCACAGAGTTTTAAAATAAAACATAAATAGAACTACATATAAATATTCAAAATAAAACATGAAATGATATATATATATATATAAAAAGATATATTTGGTAATATACGGGGCATATTTCCACTTAAGACCTTTCTTGTGGGGTATTCAAAAATTATGGGGCATATATAAAACCTCGTTTTTATCTTGATTTTATTTTGGATCTACAGCCCAAATATGTTGTTTTTAACAACTGGTGCATATTTCGGTTTTATATCGATATTTCCAATAGTTGTCTCCCCTTAGACCACATACCGCATTTCTGACGATCTCTCAGAATCGTGGATGTTCATTGACATTCGAGTCTACTATTCGGGTGAAGCTGGAAGGATATAGGCCCCACAAAAATTGTTCGAGACTTCTATAGACTCTAGCGTGTTCGAGACTACTTTTAGTCAAGTGTGTTGGAGATTAGTACCGGTACAAAGAAAATAAGCAAAGAAACGAAAAAATACATTGTATTCGTAATACAGTTCTGGTTTTTTTGTGAAGGTAAGTTTAAGATTTGTTAATAAAAAGGTAGTTTATCAATAGGCTAATTAACGTATCGTCGTGGCCAAGCCGATTGAAGAAACGAAAGTAGTCGATTTTATCGGTAGCCATTTTTTCAAGCTTGGCGTGTCAAAATAAATTTTCTGGCTTGTATTTCTTTGCTTAACAAACCATTGTGCATGGATCCATATACATTATAATCCGACACTAAAAAAAACACAACAATATCCGTGAAATTCTACTACATATATGGTCCTGATTAATTGTATATTTTAATAAGGTAATGAAATTTCCATTGTTTATTATAGGCTTTAGCCCATAGGCCATAGGCCTATGATGATATTATCAATTTATTTCACTTCTCTGCTAATGGAATTTTGACCAGCTTCTGAATTTGAGTCTGATCATAGTTAAAAAATAATTTGCACTTTAAATATAAATTTAATTAAATATCTAGTACTTATTGTGGATTTATTGACCTCCAATTAAGATCTCATTTATTTAAAAGTATCACCTGTATAAGTATCACCTGTATAAGTATAAGTATACACAAGTTGAAACAAAGCATGAATTATTTTTTTTTATTAATTCATAGGAGCCGTGGTGGCTAAATCTTTAATAACATCATTTTGATTTTGAGAAGAAACAAAATGAACGAATCCGAAATGAAATGGGGTTTAACGTCCTACTGTTCTGCTCCTAACCTGGGCTAATAAAGACGGGCATACACCATACAGTGTGCTATGAGGGAAATTTTGCCCGGGCAGCGGCGCTACGGCCTACTCTTAAATCGAATTCCAACTGCCAAGGGATCTTTTACGTGCACGCCAATGTGTACATGGGACCTCGGTTTTTGGTCCCATCCGAACGACTAGACAGCTGTCCTTGTCAGGCCCTCCGTCCTGCACCACTGACAAGGGGAAACCATGCTGAAAAATCTGGATGAACTTTCTCAGCCAATGCAACGATGGAACACCCGACCTCCAGGCTAGCGAGCCAGCGTCTGTGAACGAATGTCTCATATTGGTTGAAATATAGACAATATAATATTCATTTAAAGATACATTGTGTACGATTTAGATCAAGGGCTGGTCGTTCTTGCTGTAATAATTAAAAACAGATAATGAAAAATGAATATGCTGAAAATTTCACTCAAACTACCTTATGCTGCTTGAAGTCTTCACAAAATGTGGCATAGATTGTTTATGATCGTAGCAACTGTGCTTGTTAATCGAGACTCAGACCCGATTCTACATTTTTTTAATTAAATCATTCAATGGCGATCCTGTTTCAATCCGTTTACATCGCCGCCATCCGATGATCTAGAGAGTTAATTACAGGTTGATCAAATATATATACACATAAAGAGAAATGTGGTTTAACGTCCACTCGACACAAACTAGGTCATTTCGGGACGAACATGCAGTTCTATTTTTATTTCTATAATTCGATTGCGCGTAAGAGTGTTTATCTGTTGGAGGAAACCGGAGGACCCGGAGAAAACCCACGAGGCTGAACTAGAGATCCTACACGTTGTCCCGTGCATGCGAGGAATCGGAACCGCACCATTTGACTCAACGACTGACGTTCCAATTTGACGCGCATGCTTTAACCCACGGAGACCACCTAACCCCCCTGGTGTATCATATGAATAAACTTCTAAAGAATGATTTATATAACAAGGCCTAGAATAGGCAGATTTACACGTCACTCTTACATATATGCACATTTAATGACGTTGTAAACATACAGTTTCTACTCTTTATCAGTTACTAAAGAATGATCAACGTCTATCATAATCTACGAATCTTACTGGACACAGAATTATTATTGTATTCCAGCAGCTTTACTGAATGGATTTGGTGGTTGTGACATACTAGGATTATGGGTGCTATTTTGTGACGTATCGTTTGGTTGTGGGTTAATCGGGTAGGGTGCGGTGTTCTCCGATCCAGGAATTTGAGGACTGTAAGGTTGTAATTGCTGTGGATAGTTATAGGTAGGTGGTTGCTGTGCATAGTTATAGGTTGGTGGTTGTTGTGGATTATAAGCTAGCGGCTGTTGTGGATAAGCTGGATCGCTGTACGAAATTGTAGACATCTGGCCTGAAACATATAATCAATACACGATACCATGACGATATCTTTTCTTAATAACGTTTTCACGTTATTAATGTAATGAAACAATGCCCCGAGTGTCATCAATTACACGCAATTAGAACCACAGTTATTGTGCTCCAAAGTTATAAATCTGCTTAACATAAGCAGCCAATGGGATTAAATGTCTTACTGTTCTGTTCCAGCTGTACACGTCACAATTCTATGGAATACAATTACTGCTTATTACTTGATAATGATTAGAGAAGCCTTGTCAATTTAACGTCCTACTGTTCTGTCCCGACTGGGCAAATAAAGACGGAAATTAATTACGACTATGTTTTACCTGAGCAGAAAATGCTACTTATCGACTTTATTTAAGGTATTAGGACTAAAAAAATGCAAGAATAACCAAATTCTCCCTATAACTGAGCCTCTAGATAAATACCAAAATCTCCCTATGACTGGGTCTCTAGATAAATACCAAAATTGATATATTTTCTACTTGCGCGTAGGTTTAACGTCCAACTTTTCTGACCCAACAGTGTGCTTTGAGAGGCATTTTGACCGAATAGTATCAATACGCACCAATACGCACTACTTTTATTCGAATTCTGTCAATGTGTACACGGGACCTCTGTTTCTAATACATTGTCCTTTAGTACACACTTCTGACAAGATAGAACCACCCCGAATTACTAGATGAAACCGTATCGGCCAATCGTACACAGGACCTTGGTAATGGGAATAAATGTTGTATGAGTGGGGGGGGGGACAACGAAAAACATTTTTAGTTGACATAACCGAGAAGTCAGGGAGTTGTGAAAAATCGAAAGTCATAAAAGTGGGTATACTGTTTTGACTATGTCTTTGTGTTGTAAATAGATTTACCAATGGAATATATATATAAGTGTCACTTACCATTATTAGAAACAGTTGTAACACTAGACGATACAATTCTTTCAGTAGGTTTGGTATATATGCGATAGCAAATAAATATCATCCACACTATAAATAGTACTCCAAAAGGAAGCCCTACCGCTAAGATGGTGGACCTGTAATATAACATTAACGACACAAATACATCATTTAAGTAATCTGGCTGTTATGGGCAAGGGTGGGCTTGTAAATTGTAATAAAAAATCCCGTTCTTTATTCTGTTTTTACGGCAGTAAAGTGTTAGCTTAACGTTTTATTTGCTTTAACCGTTCCACTGTTATACATTTACCTACATGTACTAGCATCTTGACATGTACTACGACTCAAAATATATTTTTTTCTAGTGAACTCTTTTAAGATTGTGTGCATTCATTATACATTTTTTTTATAAACAATATTTATTTAGAAACTGTGGATATTTGGAAACAGGCAAACCCTATATAAACCCCCTCTTCCGGTTACAAATAAATTACATAATATTACAATAGATTGCAAAACAAAGAAGAAAACAGCAATAGATAAATGGGAAACCATAAAAATATTTACATGTAAACATAAATTTGAAATAATTAAAATCAGCTATTTTTTTTAAATTTAAATCTTTCGGTTTGTTTAAATTTGGCTAAATATTGACACGTTTTCGTCGTATGTTAATGTTTGCGATCCATATAGTAGCACTTTAATGTTTTGCTGTGTCGGAGGTAAAGTGTCGATTGTTCTGTGGCGAGCATCTGAATACATTGTAAATAATGATCCGAATAAATTTCTTTTCCGAAAACTTTCAAATTTAATCGGAATCCAAGTTAACCTAATTCCTGAAAATATGCTTACGGTAAGGTTATAGCTTAAAGTAGCTAAGTCTCTAACTCAATATCATACAAAGTCTTACACTTTGAAAACACGAATTATTTGTCAATTCAAATCAACATTGATGTTGTGGTCTTACCGACAAAAGATAGGCTTCTGATATCCAATATTTTAGACAAAATAAACATTTTACCATTGGTACACGAATCGTGTACCATAGTGCGGTTCAGCGTCAATCTGTTTTACAGACCTAATGCGACATCCGTCTTTTATCTCTGTCCAAGATGACTGACCTTTAAAAGGTCAGACCGCTGTAGTTCTAAGGGTGACGTCACATCACAATGTTTACCAACAAAGCAAGATGGCATCGATAACGCCAAAAAAGATTACTTCTGTGGCTTGTTTTTGTTGTTTTAAAACAAACTTGAGCAGGTCAATCAGATTAGACGGTAAAAAATGTACTTCTGAAAGAATTCAGAGTAAACAAACAGAAAAAAACGTCAAATTGATGGTCACACGTGCGTTGTTTACATCGAACGTAGTAATATGAACGGTACGGGCAGAATTATATCGTTTTACCCATTTTACGCCTCCGCGTACTATTTTCTGTACCTATTTACGCTAAATATGGAATATTTTTTATCAAGATATCCTTCAAACACCTTTATTTATTTTTCTAATACTAAAAAAAATGTTTCAGAATTTAATTTGTCGAAAGAAAAAAGTTAATATTTTGTAGTCATTAAGTCGCATCGATGTCATCCTTATCAGTGATTGTAGCGGCCAAGCGAATATTCACTGCGGATCAGTGTGGTTCAGCGTAACTTGTAACAAGTGACCAGAAAGAACGAGGCTAGACATATCCCACAACTCATGTAAAACGGTGACGCCATGAGAGCATGCGCAATAGACTGGAATAACCAGACGCTAGAAATAGCGATTCGGTTGAGACTCATGCCGTATTTTGCTGGAGATAACTGATTTAAAATAAGAGTCAGAACGGAAACAATTGAATGTAAATCAGTTATATACAATCAGATTACATTATTATATGCGTTGCGGTCCATTTGGCTCAATTTCTAGGTCCCAAATATTAATGATTTAGCTCCTTTAACTTATGCGTATTATAGGGCTAGGCCGAATCCATTGATGCATTCCATATGGACACGTAAATTAAACTTACAAAGTTAAACTTATAAGAGATCTACAGCAGAAGACCCAAAATCTAAAACCCGTTAGACCAGTTCAGTCACGGCTAGTAACACATTCAATTTTCTTTTATTTCAAATACCATTTATCATCGTCACACAGTAGTCCTTTGTTCCCGACAACTATTAACTTGTTTTTTGATAAGATTACCTCAAGGCTGAAATGGTAGGTAAATTCATGTAAATTCCGAAATCCACCTACTTTATCGCAGCATATAGCTAGCAATATATCTTCAGCTTCCTGTTTTGTAGAGATACCCCTGATATATTATTCATTTAGAATAATGTCAAGTAACTGATTGATGTAATAGCAATAGGGAAATTAGAGTTAACCAATCTTACTCGAAAAATGCTGGATTCCTTAAAAAAAACACACCCATCTACGGTATTATTACTATCCTCGGTATCCCCCCAATTCCTAACCTTGTCTCTTGAATGGAAACCTTTGCGATTTGCTTACTTTACCGATGAGAGTTACTCCCCTTTGCCAACTTCCTTTACAATTAACGATTTATGGGATTGGTTTATAAAAATAGCACAATCATCAAGGACAGATAACTCGAAAACATGACCGCCCCATCCTCCGAAATCGATTAACCCAAGAGTTAGTGAAGTAGAACGGAATGCGACCAGTGTGGATATCGATGATGTATCATTACCAGACAACCTGCCCAGTAACGCTTTTGTTGATCGAATGACTAGCGGTGGTGAGATTCTAGCTCGTCAACAATTGTATCAATCAGAGACGAAAACTCCGAAACTACTTTTGGAAAAATGCTCGATAGTGACAATATTTTGCTTCTTAGACGAAGATAGACCCTAGGCTATTCTCCTTATGATGCCCCTTCCAACCCCCCACCTTCACGACTAGATGAAGATGGAGGTGTGTTTTAAACAATTAATTAAATAATGGTTATATTATAACACCCCCCCCCCCCGACACACCCCCACACACACACACACACGCCACATACCTAGATCTTAAGGCAAGAGGCTAAACCAGAATGTGAACATTGTCGTGTTTCTGTCATAGTTAAGCACATTTTGATTGAGTGCAATAATCTCAAGCACATTATATCGAAATGTCACTGTTGCCAGTCACTACGTCAGTTAATAACACATCCGGGTCTATATTGTAATATAGTAGACGTTTTAAAAGGGGCATGTGTATATCACAACTTTTAATTGTATACATTATTGTTTAGTATGTGGTTATATTGTAGTGGTATTTGGGTGGTATTGGATAGTATTGGGTAGTATTGGGTAAATCGTCTCACCCCATTATACCTATCATTTAAATTTTGTACTTATAAACATACATGTTTTTTATTTATTCTTATAACACGTGTCTGTGATATATATATACATGTATATATACCCCAGTTAGAGCTGACGTGCTATTAAACCACATTTAATTCATTCAATATAAATAATTACAATCTTAGGTCTTTAGAAAGTGATTACTGCATCATATCAATCATAATACAAAATCAAATGGGGTTTAACGTCCTACTATTCTGCACCGACTGGGCTAATGACATCCTCGGTATCTCATTGGAGAAAAGGGATCAAATTTGCAATTTCAAATATTACAGCGGGGGGATGGGGTGAAAAGTGTCTTTCTGCAGAGCAAAAATTGTGTCGGAAGTGAGATTTTCATCCCAATCAACATCGCATCCCCCTGGCAAAAAAAATCTAAACGATCACACCCCTACACAATTATGATGAGGAGAGTACCAAATGCGGTCCCCTGTGTGCCTATAAAGATTGGAACCAACGGAATGTTTAGCAAAAAGCTACAGCCTGGTGATGCTATAACCATTTACCATTGAAGTCAATGGGCAAATAATTGCTAGTCCTGATATGGCGGCAGGCTTGGAAGGTAGATATTTTCTCAGCCACTTATTTCCTGAAGTTTTGAATGGAAAGTGTCCGAAATGGTAAGAATACTGTTTTTTATGGCTCAGAAGTAGGTTTTGTGACTAGTTGATATCAAATTAGCCATTATCATCCTAGGTCAGTGCTTATGTGGAGACTTTAACCTCTCCTCCAAATCCTTAAACTTAACCCAGGACCTAGCCCTTACGTTAACCCTAACCCGCAATCTCGTTAACAAGCACATGTCCTAGGCCTAACCCAAAACTTAGCCCTAACCCACAATCTTGTCAAAACCCAATTTACATGTTGTGACCTTTGACCAAATCTACAGTTGGCCTTAATATTTAGACCTAACCTCTAAACATAGTGTCTACCTTTGAGATTGGCTTAGACTTATGGGGTAGTTAAGGTTTACCTTTTTATTGATTGTTAACTGGTTTCTTGTTGGAGGGCAACTAATGGGATGTTCGCTAGAAATAAAGAGGCATATTATTTCTATCTCCACTGATGGAATGTTCGCTAGAAATAAAGAGGCATATTATTTCTATCTCCAGTTGAAACCATGGAGCAGGTCTCCCTTCTTATTCAAATACATATTTTTTTCTTTCTTATTTTCTCACCTTTTTATTGCATATTTATTCCCATCTTTCTATCATTCCAGGTGCCAGGGTAATGTTTCATAGAGTGGAATGATTGACCTCAACACAAGTATTAAAAAAAATGCAAAACAGGTGAGATAAACGTGCATTTTGTACACTTTACGTGATCGCAGCTTGATCCTGCGAACCAATCAAAAAATAGTTCACAAACCAGTCTAAGCCGCAGTGTTTACGTTCACAACAATATACCGAGATCAACCTGGCACACTATAAGCCAGCAAACTAGGTGGATTTTAACACACGATAAGCTGCACGACAGTGACTGGCAATAAAATCACGTGATTGGTATGGCTAATCAGAGCCTTCGACAAATCAGATAAATTGAAAGTGAAATGAAATGAAATGGGGTTTAACGTCCTACTGGGCTAATGAAGACGGGCATACGCCATACAGTGTGCTATGAGGGAAATTTTGCCCGGGCAGCGGCACTATCGCCTACTCTTATATCGAATTCCAACTGCCAAGGGATCTTTTACGTGCATTCCAATGTATACACGGGACCTCGGTTTTTCGTCTCATCCGAAGGACTAGACAGCTGTCCTTGTCAATAAATTGAAAGTACAGTCTATCTTTAGTAATTATATTACTGTTGGACAGCGACCTATTTCTTTCCACAAAACAACGAGCATATTTATCTCCTACAGTACGTAATCATGAATGTGCCAGGAAATACCTGATAGATTCAAAGAGTCCTAGAAACATAACTTCCACGATAACTGGAATTTAATAGTACAACCCATATTTGGACATTGTAAATACTCGCCATACTTTCCAGTGATGTATGGCACGATAACTGGAATTTAGTACTAAAACCCTTATTTGGACATTTTAAATACTCGCCCCCACCCCCACCCACTCTCTCGCTCTCTCAGTAGAGTTTAGTACGCACACATTGTAGTTAACTTTGGTCCGTTTTAAAACAAAAAATATATATACATTGTGCCCAAGAAATAATGAATATACCTAAAGATAGGAATAGCTATGAAATGAAATGAAATGAAATGGAGTTTAACGTCCTACTGTTCTGCTCCTAACCTGGGCTAATGAAGACGGGCATACGCCATACAGTGTGCTATGAGGGAAATTTTGCCCGGACAGCGGCACTACGGCCTACTCTTATATCGAATTCCAACTGCCAAGGGATATTTTACGTGCACGCCAATGTGCACACGGGACCTCGGTTTTTCGTCCCATCCGAACGACTAGACAGCTTTCCTTGTCAGCCCCTCCGTCCTGCATCACTGACAAGGGAGAACCACGCCGGAAAATCTGGATGAACTTTCTCGGCCAATGCAGGGATCGAACACCCGACCTCCAGGCTAGCGAGCTAGCGCCTTACCCACTTAGCCACGTGATCCCCCGAATAGCTATGAAAACGGTGGTATGACAGCACGTAAGTATAATTAACTATCAGTGTTGATTCCTAGTCTCTATCATCCAGAAAAATATTCTACGAATATTAGTCTGGATGCGTTGTCAACATTTGAGAATATAGGTCATTGGCTAGATTATCCGGTCTTTTACATTATCATAAACAAAGTCTAAGGGAGGTAACTAGTCCCAAAACAAGATGTCGATGTCCATGAAATTAATTTAAGAATGTCATTTCAGAATATCAATTTGATTACGTTGCCAGTTCAATATCCAGTTCAATATAGGTACGTTGAAGACTAGGAGGTTCTGGGTGACCGAGACTAGTTGATTCCTAATTTACCCTCTATCGTTGTTTCTGTACCCAAATCGACAGGGGCCAACGGAAGCGATAAGGTCTCTTTATGGCTTACATAACATAAATACATAACATCACAATTTCTATAGCGTAATAAATGCTCGTATTAGGAGTTATAAATGCGCTTGCGAAGTTATACATTTTGGTTACATTTTATCCAGTCTCGTATGGACAGATGGGTTTCAGTATTGTTTTGAAAAATGCAAACCGGCTTTGATTCTTTCATATTAAGGGGTTTTAAATCCCATAAAGGACTTAGAAGAGTATTGGAAGAGTAACCGTCTCCAACCTTTGCGAGACAAGTCCCTTGTTTGCCTCCCAACACACAGGCACACCCACACCACAGGAGCTATATTTACCTTTAACCTATTATATGTAAAAACAGTAAATACACAGGGTGCAAAATACTGAAATTAATTAATTTGAGTTGTGTATACTTACGTGCTCGGCAGTGCTTGGCATTCTGCAAATAGGAAATGAAATGTAGTTTAACGTTCTGTTCCGTACATTCGAATTCCGACTGGGATTAATCCGAGAACTCTGGTTTCCTCCGACAGGAAAGTTTGAGAGAGAGAGATGGGGTTTAACGTCCACTTGATATAAACTAGGTCATTTCGGGACTAACATATGGTTTAATTTTATTTCAATAATTCGCTTTCGCGTAGGGGTTTTTAGAAGTGGGAAGGACCCAGAGAAAACACACGAGGTTGGATAGGCGACCCTTCGTCTTGCCACGTACAACCGGGAAATCAAAACCAAGCCAGTTGACTCAATGGCAGACCTTATGATACAATGAACACGTGCTAAACAATCGGTCATCATGCGATAGCGAACGATAATTAGGAAAAAGTGATCATCATATATGGTATTGTTTATTTATCAGATTATGGTATCTGTAACTGCATTGCGTTGTGTAGCTTGTAAAGGAAATATTGAATTAATTAGAAGTTTATACATAGGTGAAACGTCAATATCATATATTATCAAAACTGGCAGAGGTCATGAAGTTCTATGCACCTAAATGATCGATCAATTTGAAGAAAGGTATAGCTCACTTCGTCACACTAGTCGTTCAGGTGGGACGAAAAGTCGAGGTACCGTGTACACATTGGCGTGCACAGTGAGGGAAATTTTGCCCGGGCAGTGGCACTAAGACCTAATCTTATATCGAATTCCAACTGCCAAGGGATCTTTTACGTGCTCGCCAATACACTGGACCTCGGTTTTTCGTCACATCCGACTGACCAGAAAACCCGGTTAACTTCTTTTACCAACGCAGGAATCGAACACGCGACCTCCAGGCCAGCGAGCCAGCGTCTTTTTTCATTTTTTTTTTTTTTTAATTAAAATTCAGATATTCCAAATTTGTCGGATAGTGAGCGAAATGGATCTGGGGTTGCAATATGCCACAGAAACACCATTGCTTGTTTTGGAGTTGTGTGACCATATCCTTGTCCTCTTAACATCAATTCTGGCAACCCATGGAGCTCGTTAACAAGGTTAACAAATGTTACATCGGTTAAACAAAAGTGTGATTTAAAGTCTTCTAAGGATTGTAGAGGGACTGTATGTTCTGCATACTATACTATCCTTGGAGCTTTATTTCGCTTCTCCGGATTTCGTAGTTGCAATAAGATGTCAATAAAAAAAAAGAGATCATTATCAATTTAAGTTTGTTGGTGGATTATTGCCTGCTCGTCGATATTTATTAGAACACTGAGCATGATTGCATGGCGGTGTTTATCTTCCGTGTTGATACATGTACCTCAACAAAGCGCCGCGCCGTTCGATTACCCGTTCCCAATGCGCATGTCCAAACGTACTCGAGGATCCTGGTCGAGTAAGCTCTGAGCAAGTAATCGAACGCTATAAAAATAAGACGACTTATCTGCTGTATCACCATAAGCAGAGAGAAAAAAATGGGGATTAACGTCCACTCAACACAAACTAGTTCATTTCGGGACTAACATATGGTTCAATGTTATATCAATAATCAATTGTGAGTAGGGGTCTTTAGCCGAGGGAGGAAACCGGAGGATCCGGAAAAAACCCACAAGGTTGGACGCGCGACCCTACTCCTTGTCGCGTACAACCGGGAAATCGAAACCACTCAATGACAGACACCATTCGCCCCCCCACCCCCCCCACCCCCGCTCCACCCCCGCTCCACCATAGGTGGAGGTGGACGTAAAAGGCTAACAGGAGAACAACAGTCATGAATTATCTCTTTAACAAATTATAGCAAATTCATATGATAAAACCCGCAATAGAGGCTAAAGATTTTAACAACTTCTTTTACAAAATCTATGTGAAGCATAAGAGAGTATATGTCCTAAAGATTTTTCTAGTTTGCCTTCCATTTCTTGCCAAATGTGGTAGTACCTTCCATGACAACCACTTGTTATTGGTTTTACAAGAAAAACGACAACTTACTCACTCACCTGTTATAAATCCAAACAGAATAAAAATAACAAAAGAATTCATGACTTGATTTCTGCCCTAGTCTGTGTAGAGACTTTAATGATCAGTTCACACGATTTCTTGGCTAGACTTTGTAGATACTTCAAGACCAATTGACGTCTATCTTAACTTTTACAGAAGTGACCACACATTACCGCGTAATATATTGGACTGGTTAATTTGAAGATCGTATAAGTTACCACAATTGAATATATTATAATGTATCCTTAAATGTATATAACAATAATATACATACCTTCCTAGTAGGTAAATAACAATAATATACATACCTTCCTAGTAGGTAAATAACAATAATATACATACCTTCCTGGTAGGTAAATAACAATAATATACATACCTTCCTGGTAGGTAAATGATTCATGTAGTGTCTAGCTGCCCAATTACTACTACTAGGCTGTTAAATAATCCGCTTTCATTTATACATTGAATGTATGAAATAAAAAGAGAGGGAGAGAGAGAGGGAGGGAGCGCGATGGTTTAACGTCCACTCGACAAAAAACTAGGTCATTTCGGGACTAACATATGGTTTAATGTTATTTCAATGTTTCGCTTGTGCGTAGGGGTCTTTAGCAGTGGGAGGAAACCGGAGGACCCAGAGAAAACCCACAAGGTTTGACAGGCGATCCTACTCCTTGTCACGTACAACTGAGGATTCGAAACCACGCCAGTTGACTCAATGACAGGCCTTATGATACAGCGCGCACGTGCTAACCATTCCCCCCTCCCCCGTATGAAATATGGTTTAATGGCACGTCAGCACGAACCGGGCTATATTGCGCCAAACAAACATATGGTAAAATTAACCGAGACAAACTATATGTAATCACAGATTGTAGTTATATATATATATAAACAAAACCAAATATCACAGACTATTAAATCATGTAAAATAAAAATCACAGATATTTAAAACTGAGAAAGATTTACCCAACCCGGTCTATATTGTAAAACGTTAGACTTTTTAAAAGAGACAAATTTTAATCGAAAGTAGTATATTGAATGTTGTACGCTTATTTATACAAGATAATAAAATTGTTTCAATGGCATTTAGTAATTGTATTCATATTCTATTGTTTTATTTCTTTTGTAGCATTAAGTAAAGATATCGACCTAAATTATTTACAGTTTTCATATTGGTATTTTTTAATAGCAATGCCAATTTATACATTGATGGTTTTAACCAATAGTATTTTTCGATATACCTTTCTCTGATATACTTATAAGATGGACAAACTAACAGAGCATGAAACTCGCAGTTACAAAATTTACTTAGCCACGTGATCCCCAGGGGTTATAGCTTTTACGATTTAACAGACATTCATACATATGGCTATAACATGAATCGAGTAACATATGTTTACCTTTTAACAATTTAAGCCAATATTTTATCATACATAATTTGCTATAAATTGGAAGTGGACCCAATTCGTGATAAATTAGTGCATTTTGCATGTTGATGTTCTTACTCCAAGTATTTTCTTAAAGAAAGTTAACTTTAATAGAACTGGAATATACAGGTCACAGTTCTGTGGAATACTGCAATTACTGAGCCTACACCAGTTGACTCAATGACAGACCTTATGATATAACACGCATGCTCTAACCATTCGCCCCCCTCCCGCCTTCCCCGACCTGTATATAAGATAAAACAAGTCATTATTCTCACGTCTTTCGGCTTCAGTCTTTTAGCAAGAGAAGGGGTCTCGTAAATTCGACGTTTCGTTTATATCAATGGCGCCACGGTAAAGATTTGGATTTCGAAGTAAAGAGTATGCCTAGAGCGTTGTCAGTGCACACGATGTCTATTGACTTCACCCCTATCTTACAGAAAAGTGGAACATGTTACAAAAGTCTTTAGAAAAAGTACACAATCACATTTGTGTATATTGAAATCGTCAATGAAGTTTCTAAATGGCCATTATTCGGCAAATGTGTTCTTTTGTTCAGTGGCTCAGTGAGTAAGAGGTTAGCTCGCTAACCTGGAGTCCCGTGTTCGATCCCTGCGTTGGCCGAAAAAAGTTAATCGGGTTTTTCCGTCGCGGATCCTCCTTGTCTATGTATAGTCGCCCAGTGTACATATTAACGTGCACGTAAAAGATAAAAGAGTGGGCCGAGGCGTTCCTGTCCGGGCAAACTTTCCCCTGACAGCACACTTTATGGCGCATGTCCGTCTTTAAGCTTCACGTTGCCTTCACTTCCGTGACTAAAATATAACTACAGTTCGGGTTTTTTGTCTCCCGCCTTTCGAAGAAAGCAGGGGACTATTAAAATGGGTTCGTCCGTCTGCCTGTCCGTCCGTCTGTCTGTCCGTCACACTTTTTGGGACACAATAACTCTCCTTCTAATTGACCTAGAATGTTCAAACTTGGTGTAGGTGTTTATTAGGTCAATGCCTTGATGGAGTTCGAAGATGAGCATTTTCAGCTCAGGGTAAGCAGAGATAAGCTATTTGATTGGTTGATGCTTTGGGGCACGATAGCTTTAGTTCTAATTAAGTCAGAGTGATGAAACTTGGTGTATAGTTTCATTACATCAATACCTTGACTAAGTTCGATAATGAGCATTTTCTGCTCAGGGTAAGCAGAGCGATAAACAATTTGATTGGCCGAGACATTGGAACACAATAACTCTCCTTCTAATTGAGCTAAAATGTTCAAACTTGGTGTGGGTGTTTATTAGGTCAATGCCTTGATGGAGTGTGAAGATGAGCATTTTCTGCTTAGGGTAAGTAGAGATAAGCAATTTGATTGATTGATACTTTGGGGCACGATAACTTTAGTTCCAATTAAGTGAGAGTGGTGAAACTTGGTGTATAGTTTCATTACATCAATATCTTGACTAAGTTCGATATTGAGCATTTTCTGCTCAGGGTAAAGCAGAGCGATAAGCAATGTGATTGGCCGAGACTTTGGAACACAATAACCCTCCTTCTAAATGGGGTAGGTGTTTATGAGGTCAATGCCTTGATAGAGTGCGAAGATGAGCATTTTCTGCTTATGGTAAGTAGAGATAAGCAATTTGATTGATTGATGCTTTGGGACACGATAACTTTAGTTCTAATTAAATGAGAGTGATGAAACGTGGTGTATAGTTTTATTACATCGATACCTTGACTAAGTTCGATGATTAGAATTGTCTGCTTAGGCTCAGGAGCAATAAGCATTTTGATTGGTCAAGACTTTGGAACATAACTCTGCTTCTAATTGATGTAGATGTTCGTCTTGACGGAGTTCAATGATTAACATATTGAGCTAAAGCTAAGCAAAGATAACTTTGATTCTATCTGATAGAGAGTGATGAAACTTAGTGTATAGTTGATAACCAGTTTGATTGCTCGATACTTTTGAAAAAATAGATGTGCGATTAATTAATATGTGTCATCTATTTATTTGGAGATTTCGGCGGGGGACATCAGCCTCACTGTTGGCTTGTTTTTCTTCTGTTTTTATTGTATAAAAACTTACAATCTGATTATAATACAGATCTATACTTTCGATGACCTGCACTACATGAACATCTGACAAGTTATAGTTGGAGTTCACGTCAGGGGTCAAATGAGGGGCCTTTGACCCTATGACGTCAGGCATTGATTAAATAAGCAGCGTTGACGTTTCTAGTGGTTTACCCATAGTTCCGTGCATCACAAGACCAAGAACTCGACGTAACAGACCGTTTCGTTGGCTAATCCCTCACATCATCCAGAACACGTCAATGATAACAACTCTTCCAGATCCTAGTTGTTCGAGACGATGTTTATTGCAGAGTTTCACGAACATTTAAACGATGTACAATATAAATATTTCAGTTCGATAGTTCAATCTAAAAGACAAATTCTCCCACATGGCATCTTTTTTACACGTCACGAAACCCACAGAGTTAGTTCCCTTAGACCCTTAAAAACATACAGTCCACCGTGAATGCGAACACACGGTTCCGAACATATCCTCTCCTTGATGAGAAATAATGCGAACATCAACAAAAAAACGATGAAGTTAACGATATACAATAAATGAAACTTATGAACTACGATTATAGTTCTATCAACCATTACTGTCTATAAAACCTATTTCGATGAAAGGTCACTTTAATGTAATCTACACGAACAATGTCTCTATACGATTATTCGTTGTCAAGAGGCGTTGTCAAGAGGCGTTGTCAAGACGACAGAGACGAGTCACTGCGCTCCTGTATGTGTTCTGTCCTGTTTTTACATCTACCACGCGCACATGTCCATCACTTCCTGGGTAGGTTTTAACTATACGAGCTAATGGCCACTTTCCTCTTGGAGTTTGAGGATCTATCATAATAACCATATCATCTACTTTAAAGTCTCTGTGTGTAGTACGCCACTTCTTACGAGCGTTTAAAGTTGGTAAGAATTCCCTCAACCAACGTCTCCAAAATTGTAATACTATATCTTGTACCCTGCGCCATCGATTACGAAGCTTATGCGGAGTTAAGTCTGTAGATTCTGGCGCCAATTCTCCACCAAGTCGACCTATCAGAAAATGGTTTGGCGTTAACACTGGCTCATCATTCGAATCTTCTCCTTGGTAACACAATGGACGAGAATTCAAAAGACCTTCCGCGTTTACCATTGCCGAGATAAGTTCTTCATCTGTAACATCCGCGTCTCCGATAACAGCTTTCATAGCACGTTTAGCGGACTTTATTAAAGCTTCAAATACTCCACCAAATTGAGACGCGATAGGTGGGTTGAACTGCCAGTCTATTCCCATATTTGACAATTTTACTTTGATCCAACCGTTGTAATAACTCTGTGAGTTCTCTGCTGGCCCCAACGAAATTAGTGCCATTGTCCTATAACATCTGAACCGGTTTACCACGACGACTTACAAATCTATTGAAAGCATATAAAAAAGAGTCGGTATCCAAACTCCAAGCCATTTCGATGTGTACGGCGCGCGTTACTAAACAAGTAAATAAGCACATGTATCTTTTAGTTCGAACTTTCCCTCTTCCTTGCTTGGTAAGAAAAGGTCCCCCATAATCTACGCTAACGCTGGCAAAGGCACGCATAGGTTCACCAAGTCTCATTTTAGGCAAAGGAGCCATCATTTGTTGGGAAGGTTTTCGCTTACGTCAAATACAGATATTGTCTATCTAGCACGAAGAATCCAAA